TTACCAGGGCGCCTGGGGGGCTCAATCGGTTGAGCGCTGACTTCAGCTCAAGTCATGATCTCGCAGTCTGTGAGTTCAAGCCCCGCTCTGTTTCTCTCTCTCAGAAATAAAATAAACATTACAAAATTTAAAAAAAAAAAACAACAACAACCACTCATAGCAACAAACTGAATAAGAAGTGGAGTTTACAACCCAAATTTTAAACAAACAAGCCAACGCACACACAAATAAATAAAACCACTACCTAACTGGTCCCTTATCTCTTGTGTGTCCAATCCACTCTCCACAGCATGAGATGATTTAAAGAATTAACTCTCTGAGGGTGCCTGGGGGGCTCAGCTGTGCAGCCCTGGGCTGCAGGGAGCATGTGGAGGAAGAAATCATGTCAAGGGGCCCCAGGGGCAGAACACACAAGATGGAATATCACAGTCTCGACTAGCACTCAGCTGCTTTCCTCTAAGGTGAGAGGAGAGATTTGAACTCAGGTAGAGCCAAGGTGTCACTTGATTCTCTGACAATCCTAAGTTCACTAAGTCTCTAAATAACTTAGAGGTTTAGCAGTAATTTACCTCAACAAAAGAAGACCGAGCTCAGTAAACGGGGAAAAAATCAGCACCAGCCCTTCCACCACCTAGGAAGGCGAATGATGATCTCTATTTAACATTTTATAACTGTGATATATAAACACAGAGATCTCAGCTCCTTCATACACAGGGACCAGAACAGAAAGACCTTCAGAAGCCCTGTTCACTGCTTAAGACAATTTCTTAAAAACCAGTGAAAATTCTCTCCACCCAAAACTATCAGCAGCTTCAGAAATAACCCACTTGAAAGGGCAGTGGTACAGCAAGTGTTGTTCTGGGCTTCTTTTTGTTACAAGCATCACATTCCTCTAAAGCCAGAACTATCCCCCTGTACCACTGGGTAATTTGAGAGCCTTCGTGATAGATTTGCCAAGGTTGCAAAGAGAAAGTGAGTGGTAAGATGTAAACAAAACCCGAAATCTTGACTCCAGCCTCCCTTCAACCAACCATGTATAGGCATGCTCTCGCTCTTTAAATCCGACCCTTGGGACTTGACACTAAATTTGACCTTGACAGATTATCCTAAGTGGGAGGGCAGCAGGGCTCCAGTAGTAAAACCTCCAGGCTGAGTGATGCGCTTGCAAGTGACACTCTTTTTGGTTTGACCGTTCAGAACTGACAGGAAATACCGCCAGTCCCACAGGCCAGGGAGTCTACGGCATTTATATTTTATATAAAATTTATTTCAACATCTTCCACTCCTCGTCTTCATTCTCTCTGGAAGGCGGAGCTGCTCGGTGGCTTTAAAAGGCTGTTCTCTTTCCTCTGCAACCCGATGCCCAGTTACTGACCCCTGGGACATGTTACTAGAGAGTAGAAGTCGAGTCCTCAGAACTCAAGCTACAAGTCCATCTTCAATCCCCGGGCCGTCCCCTCAACAGGTGTGAGGTGCAGTAACGGCAGAACACAGAGGTCAGAGCAGCAGATGGAATTCCACACCAAACAGAAACTCTCTCAAGAGACACGGAGACACCATGTCACTGCCACTCGGTCTACTTTTAGATCTCTGTTTGTATCTCACAAATTACACTTGATGATCTACTCGGACAGACTCACAGACGGGATGTGGGCAGAGCTGCTGAGCACTCGTGCTCTGGCTGGCAGAAACAGCACAGTGCTTCAGGCTCTGGAGCTGGACGGCTGAGTTCAAATCCCGATTCAACCACTTACAGGCTTAGTGATCTTTGTTTAAGTTCTGTGCGCCCATGTTCCTCGTCTGTCAAATAAGGACCTTCCTCATCGGTGGGGGGGGGGGGGCTGGACAAAATGGCACAACACCTATGAACAACCAGACCTGACAAACAGTGAGTGCTCAGTGAAGGTTAGCTATTACCATTATGAAATAACATGTGGGGAAAGAAAAGGAAATGTGCCACATTTATTCTATATACCTTATTTCTTAAAAAAATTTTTTTTATTAATGTTTTATTTTTATTATTTTTGAGAGAGAGAGAGAGAGAGAGAGAGAGAAAGTGAGCCGGGGAGAGGCAGAAAGAGAAGGAGACACAGTATCCGAAATAGGCTCCAGGCTCTGAGCTGTCAACACAGAGCCCGACGCGGGGCTCGAACTCACAAACCGTGAGACCATGACCTGAGCCAAAGTCGGATGCTTAAACCACTGAGTCCCAGAGGTGTCCCCTGTATACCTTATTTCTATATATATCTGAAGTTACTCTGATTTACTTTATTAACCTGAAATTATGATATCTTCTGAAGACACCCACTCTTACAACATAAAGCATATGTAATGATGACTACATAGAAACAACAATCAAAATGTCAATATTCTTTTAGAAAAAGCCCCAAACTTAAGGTCAGGACTGCTCTCTAGGGCTTTGGGAAGAGCTCAGTCCTTCACAGGCTCACAGAGAAGCACAGGGCAGCTGAACCAGGAGCCTTCCAGCCAGAAGAAACCTCAGTATGAACCAAAAGAAGTAGTTATTTGTTTTAAAATAACCCTTATGGTCTGAGAAAGTCAAAATTAAAATAATCATAATGATAATAAACTATTCTGACACAAGAGGACGGAAAAAAGAAAGGAAGTAATTTTCATAAGAAGAAAGGGCCATTTTTCAAGCATGAGCTGACTCCCTCCAGGGAGGAATTCTCACCTGTCTCCGTCAAAAAACAACAACAACAACAACAACAAAAAACCCAAAAAACAAAAAACAAAAAAAACCCCAAAGATCCTTCTACTCTAATTGCTAAGGCAGCAGTAACAAAATCAGAGAGCCCACATTTGGCGAGTTGGTGCAGCTGAATGCAAAGCAGGAAGGACTTGGTATTTTGAAAGCACTCCTGGAGTGTGAATTAGGGGAAGGGGGTCACTCCAGACAGAAAGGGAGACAACAGTGAAAAACAATCATCAAAATACGTTTTTTAACTAGAGCTCAAGATGGGAGCCAGTTACCGGATAAAACTTCCTAAAGGAAAAAAAAATTTTTTTTTCCTCCAGGTCACTTATCTACCTAAAAGATTTCAATATTCCCCACAGCTTACAGGAAAGGGTCAAAAGCCTTGGGGGTAAGGCAGCCCCACCTACTTCCAGGCCTGTCTCGCCATCAGGAAACGACTGGCTTCCTTGTTTGTTCCCGGGAGGAACAGAGCATGCTCATTTCAGCTTTGTAGCCCCAGCGCCTATCACAGTACCTGGCACACAGCAGTGGCTCAGTAAATGCTTGCTGGTTCCACAATGGGAATGCGTTCAGGCCTGTGCTCTGCCCTTCACCTCTGGAAAGGCCCCTCCCCACCCGTCTGGTGAAAGCCCAGGCCTCTCCAAAGGCTTGCTCAACACCCTCCACCCCCTCTTTTTTTTTTATTTCTAGGAGAGAGAGAGAGAGACAGCGTGAGCAGGGGAGGGTCAGAGAGAGAGGAAGACACAGACTCTGAAATAGGCTCCAGGCTCTGAGCTGGCAGTCAGCACAGAGCCCAACGCGGGGCTCGAACCCACGAACCGCGAGATCATGACCCAAGGGAAAGTCGGACGCTTAACTGACTAAGCCACCCAGGCGCCTCCCTCCACCCTTTCTCAGGCGGCCTGCCCTTGCCCTTCTCCTCTGGCTCTCAAGCCCCACAGCATCAGATCACTTCAGACCCCTCCAGCGATTTAAACATCCGTTCCTGCATTTCATCTACCCCACCGACCCAGCAGTTTCTGGAGGAAGGCAGGGGTTTTGGAAGCAAGAAGGTGTGGAAAGGTCATTGACCTGTGGCCAGGCCGACCTAGTTATTTGAGTTTGGGAAAACTTTATATAAATACACTTAGAACAGTGCCTGAGACAGAGTATGTACTTTTAAATACTAGCTATTATCAAAGCTCATTTCTTGGAACCTCAGTTCTCTTGCTTATAAAATGGGATTAATAATGGGGGCGCCTGGGTGGCTCAGTCAGTTAAGCGTCTGACTTTGGCTCAGGTCACGATCTCATGGTCCATGAGATCAAGCCCAGCGTCAGGCTCTGTGCTGACAGCTTGGAGCATGGAGCCTGCTTCAGATTCTGTGTCTCCCTCTTTCTCTGCCCTCTCCCACTTGAGCTCTGTCTCCCTTGCTCTCAAAAATAAATAAACATTAAAACAATTTTTTTAATGGAATTAATAATATATCTTATGGTGCACCAGGATGGATCAGTCAATAGAGCATCAACTCTTGATCTTGAGGTCATGAGGTCAAGCCTCACATATTAGGCATAGAGCTTACTTAAAAAATAATAATAATGTATCATCTGTCAGGTGGCTCTTATGAAGATTAGGAATAATGTCTGAAAAGTCTCTGGGACCTTCCTTAGTCACTCACTAGCCATACGGCAGCGGTTTTTCCAAAGCCTCATGCTGGGTGCAGAATAGATGCTCCATTAGTTTATGGAATGAGCACCATGAACAGGGACACAGCCTAGTTTCAATTCAGATATACAGGAAACCTGGTCAGTCCTTCACTCAACAGCTCTTTAAGGGCTGTCGGTATGTATCAGGCTTTGTTCTAGGTGCTGGGATGCAAAAGTAAAAATAGTCCCCGGCCCGTGAAATTGACCTTCCAAAAGGAGAGGGCAGGTAATAAGCAGAGGGCGGGACAGAGAAATACAAGCTTACATGGTGTTAAGTGCTACGCAGAAGAGAAAAAGCGAGGTGAGGGTGCACTGGGCAGAGCTGGGAGAGGCTGTGTGCGGAGGTGGCGTTTAACAGAGACCGGAATCTTTAGGACAGCCGGGGCCCGGGAGACACCCTCCTCCCTTAGGCAGACTCCAGCAGCCTTTCCAGAGGGTCAGCCTCCGGTGACTAAAGACCCCACGCCAGCCGAGGGGCTGTGGTCTGGCTCCCAGGGCCCCTCTCACTGCACACCGGACGCTGCTGAACCAGTAATCACGCGCGGTCGTGTGGGGCACTGAGGCCGCACGTGGAAATAAACAGGTTACCACCATACCGCTACTGGTCTGTTCCCCAGAAAGTTCAGATCACTGTTCTCTCCAAACAGGTAACCCTCGGGATGCGTGGAGTCAAACTTCTCTCCTCCCATAATGAAGTGGCTGGCGAAATAGCTTCCTGGACAGGGGGACACAGAAACATCAAACAGAAACTGGTCAAACTAAAGCAAGTAAAAAAACTGGCTCAAAAAACTGTTTCCCTTTCAAACAGATAATTAGCGCAACTGTTAACCCCAAGAGAATTTCCTCTCGATCTGTGACAGTGGCACAAAATAAGCAAAATCAGAGCAGTGAGAACCCAAGATACCCACCATAAATTGATGAATTTTCCTTTTAACATTATTAATTGAGTCCTTATTATGACCTGTCTACAGCACCATCAGCCAAGGGACCAGAAGGCCCCACAACGCACATCAATGGACATAGATATGTACTTTGTTCCTGGTTTTTTTCCTCTTAAATTTGAAGTGGTTATTTTCTATTCTCGTATATTCAGGAACCGTAACTATAGGTACCAGCATGTATACACACACATACATTTCTCTGCCCAGATTTTCCTCAGCCAGCTCCTACCTAGTTATACAAGACTCAGTACCCGCCTACCACTACACACATACTTCTGTAACCCTCTACAATGAAGGCTCTTTCTTTTTCATATTTGCTTCAAAATGATTGTTGTTGTTTTTATTGAGAGAGAGAGAGGGCACAAGTGAGTGAAGGCGGAAACAGAGGGAGAGAGAGAATCTCACGAAGGGGGAGAGAGTGAGAGAGACAAAGAGAGAGGGAGAAGCAAGGCTCACCCAAAGCAAGACTCGTGCTCCTCCCATGCGGGACTTGAACTCACTGTGAGATCGTGACCTGAGCTAAAGTCACACGCTTACCCGACTGAGCCACCCAGGCACCCCAGAATGACTGTTAACAGGGAAATATGAAGTTAAATAATACAATTGTCCTTGGGGGCGCCCTGTGTGGCTCAGTCTGTTAAGTGTCTGACTCTTGATTTCGGCTCAGGTCATGACCTTGCAGTTCAGGAGATGGAGCCCTGCGTCGGGCTCTGGGCTGACAGTGCAGGGCTTGCTTGGGATTCTCTCTCACCCACTCTCTCTGCCCCTCCCCTGCTCTCACGCTTGTGTTCTCACTCTCTCTCAAAATAAATAAATAAACATTTTTAAAAAATACAGCTGTCCTTGGCTTTACCTACCAATTACCCATAGATTATGGAATTCGACAGGACAATAGTTAGCACTGTGAAAAGATACTTGTGCGTGCACACACACAAAACACACACCCTCAGTCCCAAGTTTACTAACAGTGCGAATGGCCAGGGTTTCAGGGGCATCAGTCATGTCTGCCCCACCTTGACTCACCAGGAGGCAGGGATACTTAACACTACAGTAGCTAGAGGCAGTCAGTAGTCAGGGTCAGAACCCCATCTTCCTCATGCAGACAAGCGGACGAGCTGTGCCAGGACACGACGGCACTGATAAGTCACCAAGGGAGGCTTAGGTAACACCGCAAATTCCATCTGGGAAGACTTTCCAACTTCGACTTAAGTGAATGCCTCCGAACACAAATTACTGTTGTTGTTTTTTTTTTAAGTTTATTTATTTTAAGAGGAGAAAGAGCAGGGCTGAGGGGAGGGGAGAATCCCAAGCAGGCTCCACCCACTGTCAGCAAGGAGCCTGATGCAGGGCTCGAACTCCCGGAACTGTGAGATCACACCCTGAGCTGAAATCGAGAGTCGGACGCTTAACCAACTGAGCCACCCAGGCACCCCTAACCCAAATTTCTAGAATCTAATTATCCCATGAAGGTAAGCCGTGCGAAGGGAAGGATTTATCCCCCAGCACGCCCTGTCAGGCTCTCCTCACATACCCTAATTCCTGGATGAATTCAAAGAACAAATGAAATGGTGAGAGGCTTCGTCGTTATCTGTCACACAGCAAGAGTATCGACACATTTTCTAAGCCAGTTTCAATTTTTTGCTGAAGGTTTACAGCGAACTAAACACAAGGAGATTCAGCATTTTCAGCTGGGGAGAAGCCATAGGAAGGAAGGCAGAGAAGCAAATTCTAACAGAAAAATGGAACCAAATATCCATTTGGGGGCTTTTCTTCACATGGAGCTTTAGTCTAGAAACACTTGTTACACAAGGCAATGTGGATAAAAATCACACCGCAAAGTGAGGCGATTCTTTAATTAAACAACAAGCAGGAAAACATTCTTTGGGAGAAAGAGCAGCCAAAAGCAAAGCAATCACTGAGGAACTCATGCAAGTTACCCACCAACAGTGAAAATTACGAAGTGCTGCCATCTACGGTGACGCAACAGTGCAATTCATCATGTGGGAGAGCTTTATTATCAATTATTTATGGCTCGCCTACTTTCCAAGTGCATAATTTATAGAGGGGGGAGGTGCCCAGTCGCCTTAAGCAGAAGCAGCCATCTCAAATAGTTTATTTAAGTCATTTACTGTTGAACCTTAGCAAAGTATATTTTCTATACATTGGAGATTACATATTTATCATCCATTAGCTGCAATTTTAAAAGTTAAAGATTTTGGGGGGCGCCTGGGTGGCTCAGTCGGTCAAGCGTCTGACATCAGTTCAGGTCATGTTGTCGCGGTTTGTGGGTTCGAGCCCCGCATCGGGCTCTGTGCTGACAGCTAGCTCAGAGCCTGGAGCCTGTTTCGGATTCTGTGTCTCCCTCTCTCTCTGACCCTCCCCTGCTCACACTCTCTCTCTCTCTCAGAAAAAAAAAAATTAAAAGAAAAATTGTTTTAAGTTAAAGATTTTGGGGCACCTTAGCTGACTCAATCGGGAGAGTGTGCAAGTCTTGATCTCTGGGTCAGGAGTTCGAAGCCCATGCTGGGGAAAGAAATTAAATAAATAAAGATGATAAAATAAATAAAAAGTTAAAGATTTTACACTGATGGATGGCTTGCCCCAGTCATGAATAAAGAATGGAGAGAGGAAGGTTTGGTGTCAGGAACTGTACTGTAGGGTTCAGTAGGGCACAAGCCAAGTTTCTACTACCTGTGGACCGTAGGGTGAGGGGTGTGGGGACAATGAAATCAGATAATCAACTTACAGATGATAGTGATTATCCTAGCAAGAGAAAGGCACTGATGGCTTGGAGAGTAAAGGGCTAAAGACGGTGACAGGGTTTTCTTGGAAATGCCTTTTTTGCCATAAAATTAAAAGAGAAGAAATTACTAAGAAAGTAGGGTAGAGCTAATTCAGTTTTGTTTTCCATTAAAAATCAAGAGCACAAATATAAACAGATTTAAAATTAGGTGACTATTTCACAGATGAAACAAGGACTTTTCATTTCAGTAGAAGAGTCGGAGCAAAATTCCTTTAAAAAAATGATCTCCAGGGGCGCCTGGGTGGCTCAGCCAGTTGAGTGTCCAACTCTTGGTTTTGGCTCAGGTCACGATCTCACGGTTCCTGGGATCGAGCTCTGCACCGGACTCTATGCTGACGGTACGCTCTCTCTCTCTCTCTGCACCTCCCCCTCTCCCTATATACACATAGGCTCTCTATCTCTCTCTCAAAAATAAATAAGCTTAAGAAAAAAGATGATCTCGGGGCGCCTGGGTGGCTTAGTCGGTTAAGCGTCCGACTTTCGCTTAGGTCATGATCTCGCGGTTCGTGGGTTCGAGCCCCGCGTCGGGCTCTGTGCTGACTGCCAGCTCGGAGCCTGGAGCCTGTTTCAGTCTGTGACTCCCTCTCTCTCTGACCCTCCCCTGCTCGTGCTGTCTCTCTCTCTCTCTCCTAGAAATAAATAAAACAAAAAAATTTAAAAAAAAAATAAAATAAAGCAGGAGAACTATGTTTAAAAAAAAAAAAAAAGAAAAAGAAAAAAGATGATCTCCCTTGGTGCACTTAAAGTACAAATACCTTATCCATTAAAAATAGTAATAATAAGCTGAAAGCAACCAAAATTTTGCTTGTTCCTTCTCTGAATGGACCCCTGTAATAATGTGCCCTAGTTAGACTAGTGAGAAAAGGCAAACCTGCCATCTGCGGCCTGGATAAAGCTTTGTGTCGCTTGCCCCAGCTGTCTACAGGGACAAATCAGTGCACAGTCATGCACTGCCACCGCATTAGCAGACAGTAACCTAACACACTAACGGTCCCTGGAAAAGATGCCTTTTGGAATACTTGCGCACATGCGTACTTTTTAGCAGGAACTATGCTCTAAAACCAAAAACACTAGGGGAAAAGAACTATGCTAAAACACTTTGCCTGTTTGCTAATAGGAACATATATGACTAATGGATAAACTGCAAGTTTTTCATTATGAGTTAGCTAGAATTTCTTAACCAGAATTCATATTCAAATTCTTTGTGGGCTTTAAGAAGATATATCTTGTGGTAATCATTTTAAAAGACAGACAGATGTCATATCATCAGTTTGTACACCTTAAACTTCTACAATGATATATGTCAATGAGATCTCAGTAACCGAGGAAAAAGAAGATATGTCATACACAGATCGCCAACATTATATTTAAAACACAAAGCATGCGTGGGAGAGAGAAGGGGGAAATGGTGTTTAATGGGTATAGAGTTTCTGTTTTGCAAGAAGAAAAAGTTCTAGAGATCTGAACACTACTGAACTGTACACTTGAAAGTGGCTAAGATAATAAATTCAATGCTACATAATTTTCACTACAATAAAGAAAAGAAAAAATAATAAGGTTTGGTCCAGAATGGCCAACACTAATTCAAGTTCAGGATTAAAGGAAAAAAATATTAAAGAAAAAAAGGCATCCAGGCAAAACGTAAAATTATTTATAAGGGAGGAAAATTACACTAGTGCTGTTCCTCCAGATCAGGGCTGTCCAATAAAAATATAACACGAGCCAAAAATGCAAGCCCCATATGTAATTTTTAATGATCTAACAGCCACATTTTTTAAAAAGCAAAATTAACTTTAATATATTTTATTTACTCCAGTATTGGATATCCCAATATCCCAATATATCCAAAATGTTTCTATCAACATGCAATCAGTATAAAAATTATTAACAAGCTATTTACATTCTTTTTTTTTTTTTTAAGTATGGAGTCTTCAATATCTGGTGTATATTTCCCACTGTTTACAGTGCATC